TTTAGTAATTTCGTGTAATTCCAAATTTCGTCTATTTACTGTCACATATTCATAGTATTAATGTTACCAAGTTTATTCAAACGTGCAGATGCAGAAAACAAATTGTTGTCTCTGTGATATATCATGTATATTTGAAATAAATAATTATTCCATGAATGTGTTAAATGTTCTTGTTCCAAATCTTGTCAATGGCTGATGTAGCCTTTTTCATTGTTTTTTTCGGTAGTTTCAGATACAACTTACATGTATTTTTTGTTTGTAAGCCACTTTAATAACGGGACGTATTATGGGATACCGTTTTCCATCCATCCTACTATGTGTATGCGTCAACATGTCAGATAATAACTAAAAAACGATTTAACCAATTTTCATGAAACATTGGTTAAAAATGTAAATCTTTTGACGTAAGTTCCCTTTAGCTTTTTAGAATTTTTTTATTTCAAGTTTCGGAGTTATGTGATTTCATTTATAAAAATGTGTGAATTTCCCCAGATTTCGGATAGTAACTCAAAAATGCTTGGTGACTGGTTTATATCGATTGAAAAAATGTCCCTTTATTCGTTTTTTATAAACTTTTGGTATGACATTGAGGAGTTTGGTTAATAAATAACGGGCATCTTACGGGGCAGCCCATTATTACATGTATGTCTGCTGAATTAGTATAAAAATACTTTGTGATAGTAGTCATCTACTTGCCATATGAACAAATACTATATATTGATCTTTGAATAAATGTTCGCTTCGTGAACCATGGACCTTAATCTGAGAGATAGTCACAGAAACAAAAATTATATGACAAACACCATTGCCACTGTAAACGAAGCGAACTTTACAGTGGCACTGATGTTCGTCATATCATTTTCTTTCTGTGTCTATCTCTCAGATTAAGGTCCATGGTTCACTTTTCACTTTTCATAAAAAAAAGACATTTTTATCAATCAAGATAAACATGAAAAGATTCCCATGGCATTATCATAATTGTTTTGCCTCAGTTGGTACAAAACATGGCCGCCGTGACTGAAAAATTTAATATAAAGAAAAAATGCATTAATTGTCAAATTTAAAAAAACTATAAAAGATAGAAAAACATCTGACAGGAAAAATGATCAGAGCTTACTTTTTGTTTGCACAAAAATTATTATTATAAGAACTATTGCCCTTAATAAAAAAATTATCTTGAAAACCATAGAAGTTATAAATGTTAACTTATAGGAGTTATTACCCTTATATGAGAATTAGTTTTTTTGTTTTTATCCGATGGCTTGAATACTATAATAGCTAGATAGAAACTGTAATCATAAAAACAATATCCATCAAACCAGACCAAATTGTAATATAGCCTTAAACATTGGATGACTCTTTTGAAGAGATTTTGCCCTTTTAGACGGGTTTTTATCTTATTTTGCGGGTATTTGTCTCTTGAAAAATACTATATATAGGTTGGAATAGTTATCAAAGGTATTAGGATTATAATTTAATAAGTCAGACGCGGGTTTCGTCTACATAAGACTTATCAGTGACGCTAATATCAAAATAGTTATTAAGCCAAACAAGTACAAAGTTGAAAAGCATGGAGGACCAAAACAAGCGGTTACTAGCAAAAAATGATTGGTATAGTTGATAAATTAATTCACACATACCTTTCCAAATGCAAAACTAGAACTGTTAACTGTAAATAAGTAATAAAATTGAGAATGGAAATGGGGAATGTGTCAAAGAGACAACAACCCGACCATAGAGCAGACAACAGCCGAAGGCCACCAATGGGTTAACCAAGTTAACAAAGGCTTAAAATATGCCCTTATACAATTTGATGGTGTTTTTTATCCAGCCAAAATACTACAAAAGAGGGACGAAAAATACCAGAGGGACAGTCAAACTCATAGATTGAAATTAAACTGACAACGCCATGGCTAAAAATAAAAAGACAAACAGACAAATAATAGTTCAGAAGACACAACATAGAAAACTAAGGACTAAGCAACACGAACCCCAACAAAACCTGGGGTTGATCTCAGGTGCTCCGGAATGGTAAGCAGATCCTGCTCCACATGTGGAACCCGTCGTGTTGCTTATGTTACAAATTGTACAGATAAATAGTTGTGATATAGCTATTAATACAGAAATAACTTCCTTTAAGCTCATCACATTAAAACTGATTAAGACACGCGTTAGCTGGTTTGTAATATCAGGTTTGGTCTAATTTTCAATAATTCTTAACAGGTGTTTTACATAATTTACTTGGGCCGCCACCCCTGATCCAGAAAGATTTTGTGTCAAGGGATTAAATATTATATTTGACCTAAAGTGAACCTTTTACAATATGACAATGTCAACAGATTAGGGATGATATACAAAATGTATACACAGGGTATAGATAAGGGTTACAGTTTGAATATGGGTAAGGTTTAAACTCAGGGTAACGGGTTAACGATATATTCAGGGTAAGGGTTAGAGTTACTTTGAGGATAAGGGTTAGGATTATAGTCTGAATAATGATTCTGGTTATAGTTGGTGTAAGGGTAAATGTTATAATATAAGTTATAGTTAAAGTAAGGATAAGGGTTAGGATTCTAGTAAGGATAAGGGTTATCGTTAAAGTCAAGATAAGGGTTAGACCGGGTTGTAATTTGAATAAGGGTTACGGTTATAGTCAAAATTTGGGTTACGGTTAGTGTTAAGGTAAGGATGAAGATTATGGTCTTGATAAGCGATGGCATTATTCGGAATAACGGGTTAGGGTTAAAACCAGTGGGGGATTACATGTTGTAGATAATGCATATTTTAGGCTTTTATTGTCGTATAACACACTGAAACACATAAATGAAATACCAAACGTAGAGGTCCTCCCAATCCTGACATTTCAAGGTGTGGTATACGAGTATATCCTTACAATATGTAATTATATATCGTCAAAAATCTATTTTTTCTTCAAAGATTTGAGGCAAGTTTTTTGTCATTTCATCGATCACATTAAAGAGGCATATTATTTTTTCTAGCATTTAGCTTTAACAACGCCCAACGGATAACTTATTAATAAAATCAAAAAGGCAAGCTATAAGTTTGCAATCACGGTCGAATTAACTAAAAATTTGACTGTAATTGCATGAAGCAAGAACAGAATAATTAAGGTTTTCAAACATACTATATAAGTGTTTTACTCGCATGGCCTATAAACATTCAAAACTATATCTCTGTAACTATTTTCTATTATTTATAAAACAAAATATCTGAATTAACACTTCAAATCTACAAGTCTACCTTTTTATTAGGCTACACGTGCTGCTCCTATCTATGAATTAAATGAGTAAACGACAGCTTATTAGGCGTGTATAAATCGTACAAATAAATGTAAATAATACACGATAATGACCAACCTGTACATACTGTTCTGATTCCTTAAACCAATATTAACAAGAAAAATATAATACCAATACTATTCACATTAAAATAAAGAGATTATATGAATCAAATATCCGTCAGAGTTCAAATGACGTAGATAGAAGCAATTAAACGTACGGCATTCAACAATGAGAAAAACCCATATCGTATAGTCGGCTATACAATGGCCCTGAAAGCAGATAATTCATGTTTCAGTTTTGTATGTGTGTGTTATTATGAAATTGCATAGTAACAACAGTAATTAATATGTTGCTAGAAACCATTCAAAAATAATATAATATGATGCGATGCGATGGAGAACAATAAACAAATTCTATTTAAAAGAAAGTTAAAAAAAATACAATAATTTCGCTAAAAAGATTTGATCAAAAAGAAAGCAACTTAAATCTATGATTGAAATTTTATCATTTCTTTAGATAGTCAAATCGTTGGTGTGTAATCGTTTGTTATCCAAACACAGGAAGTACATATTATGCATGTCTATTATATTGATATATCAACATACAATTGTATTAACAAAGTAATTTATTTTTGACTATCAATTGCATATGAACTTTAAATAGAAACGGAAGTATATTTTAGGGAATTCCCCGTCACCAGGTCCGTGTAAATAAAGTAAGAATTTACAACCAAAATGGCAGGTTATACTTTTTCTTTACTTCTATCTATTGGTTTCTGTTTCATCCACGATTCCTTAACAACAAACTTTAATATACTAAAGCTTTTCCACTAATATAACACATGTAACTACAAAATCGAAAGTTTTGCTTGAAACCTTTTGTTTTAAGAAAAAGTCCTAAGATGAAGAACTGTTAACAAATTCCTTATAAAGGAAAAAAATTGGAAAATAAGTACATTAATTTCATTAGAAGACTAATTTAAGAAAAAGGAAGATATATAATTGAAATAGTTTAATTACTTTAGAATGTTAGTAAGTCCAAATCTTTTTTTTTTTAATATTTCCTCGTAGGAAGTACAGGTTATGCGTGTTTGTTTTATCATTTTATCAAAATATGTGAATGTGTAAGGTAATCTATTTTTTTCAATATCGATTTCAAATGACCTATAAATTGAAACGGTCACTATTTCAATGTAAATAAAGTTTACAACCAACATGGCATGTAAGATTTATTCAATAACACATGTTCTTCACTTCAATCTTTTGGTGTCCGTTTCAATGACGTTTCCTTTACACCAAACTTTAATGAATTAAACCTTTTTCTTCCAATAAAACATCTGTAAAAACAATATCGAACGTGTTGCATGAGACCCTTTAAAATAAGATAATATTTTACTAAAAAGAACCGTTAATAAATTTCCTTTAAGGGAAAGATAAAAATAAGAAAATAAGTACAATAGTTTCGTTACAAATTCTTTAAAAATGATCAATCTTCTATTTAAATTTTACTTTTCCTTTGGATGGTCAAATGTTTATTGTGTAATCAAGTTTAAAATCCCACGCAGGAAATTCAGGTTATATATGTCGTTTATATCACTAATAAAAGTCAAAGTGTATTTATGAGGTAATTATGTTTGCAATATGAACTTCATATAAATTTAAATAGAAAAGATAGTAATATTTAGGGAAATCCCCATCACCAGGACCAAGTAAATAAAGTCGGAGTATACAACCACAATGGCAGGTAATAACGAATTTATTCGTGTTCTTTCCACTAGTTTTTTTATTCCACTCACAGTTCGTTAAAAACAAACTATAGAATATTAAACAACTTAATTCTTTAATAAAATATGAGCCAGTCTATACGAAAGTGTACAATAACGACAAAAATTACGAAATTCTAAAAAAAATTGCATAATTATTGGTAGCAGACTTGTGATCTATTAAACACAGTTACTTTTCCTCATACCCTTAAGCTATACGCACCTTTAAGTGCTGATCCCCCTTTTCTCCTTGTTTTATAAAGATTTTGGTGAATTATTTCACATATTTCATTATCAATGTATAGTTTAAACGTCCTTATTTGCCATTTGGTAATGTTCGATCCGGTAGCATTTAAATAAGACTCTCGCTAACAATGCTGATATCAAAGTAATCTAAGCGGGCAACCGATCGAATCCGTTGCAAGGACTATTGATTTATATTTTATTAATTTACTTAACTTCACTTTAATGTTAACTCCAAAAGCATAAGATGACATAATTTTTGCAATTTCCTTACGTTTAAATGTTCAATAACACCTTTTCTTCACTTTCTTCCATTGGTTTATGTTTCATCCGTCCTTTTACAACAAAATGTCCCAGGTGAGGGGGAGGATTGGGATCCCGCTAACATGTTTTACCCCGCCACATTCTGTATGGGTGTGCTTGTCCCAAGTCAGGATCCTGTAATTCAGTGGTTGTCGTTTGTTTATGTGTTATATATTTGTTTTTCGTTCATTTTTTGTACATAAATTAGGCCGTTATTTTTTTTTCGTTTGAATTGTTTTAAATTTGTCATTTCGGGGCCTTTTATAGGTGACTGTGCGGTATGGGCTTTGCTCGTTGTTGAAGGCCTTACGATGACCTATTGTTTTAATTTTTGTGACATTTGGTCTCTTGTGGAGAGTTGTCTCCTTGGCCATCATAACACATCTTCTTTTTTGTATTTGATATACTAAACCTTTTCACTAATATAACACGTATAACTACAAAATCAAAAGTGTTGTTCGAAACCGTTTGGAATAAAAAATTATCCTATGATGAAAAACCGTTTACAAATTACTTTTCCAGGGAACGACCATTTAATCTAAAAAAAAAGGGGGGTATGTTTTTGTTCTCACAAATATTCTGATCCAAATGTTAATGAAAAAAATAATCTGATCACGCAGATGACAAACCAAAATAATCTGAATCCAAATTTTCCCATATAGTGTTAAAATGTAAAAAGAAATAATATTTGATTGATAGCGGTGAAAAACAAAAATAAAACATTCTGACTCAGACAAAAAACCATAACCCCCTTTCTATATGAATTTAAATGGTTGCTCCCTTAAGCATGGTAAAGGAAAGATAAAGTAAGAAAATAAGCGCAATAATTTCGTAAAAAAAGACAAACTTACAAAAAGATAAATCTATAATTGAAAGGGTATTTTTGATTTAGAAAGCCAAATGTAAAGTGTGTTATTATTTCATAATCATTTTTTTAATTGCCACATAGGAAGTACATGTTATACATGTCTGTTATATCACTTGATAAAAGTTACAGTGTATTTGTAAGGTAATTTATTTTTGCCATATAATTTCATATGAACTTAAAATAGAAAAGAAAGTAAATTTTAGGGAATTCCCAATCACCAGTTCAGGTTAAACAAAGTTGTAGTTTTCAAGCAAAATGGCAGGTAATAAAGCATTTTATCGTGTTCATTCCATTTAAATGAAAAAATATAAAACATGTATATATAAGCTCAATATTTTGCTATGAGTAAGCTAAATGAAAGATGATGCATTTATTATGCCTACTGGAAAAACATTCTAGTTGGAACGAAAAAATTAAGGCAAAAAAATAGAAAGAAGATAAAAAAAGGAAACACATTATTTCTAATTTCATTCTACAGCAAGGAGTAAACAAAAGATTCCGGACGTTTGCAAGTAAAGTAGTTCGTCGGATCTTTCTGAAATTTGACCACATGTAAAAGACCAGTTTCATTTTCACGAAAACGTAGGTGTTGAATTTTCATTTTAACGTAATATATTAAGAGGAAGTAACTCTTTGGTTCTTTTTAGTAAGTAAATATCATCTTAAAGTACACTATTGGCCTTTTTTTCTCTGTGATCAAGACTTCACTGAAATTTTGAGATGATGAACAGCAATAAAACCGTTGTTCATGTTATTCCTTTGTTTTTTCTCATGTTTTCTGTGTGTTTTTTTGCTGAGCATGTACTGATTTTGTGCAATGAATGGATGCCGCATATCCTTTGGTTTTATATGACGCAATAATTAAATTTTGGAGATACTGGAACTGTTTAAACAATGATAATATGTTATTAAGAAGATGTGGTTTGATTGCAATGATACAAATATCCAGCAAAATTAATAAAAAGTAGATATATTCATTGTTCGACCAATAAAGTTTCAGTATAACTATTGCCGCAATATACGATCCAAAATGTTCAGTAACTAAAGTATTAAAACACGACCCAGAATATTCTGTAACCAACACTTATAAGTATACGAATCTAAATGTGTTGTTACCAACCCCATCAACATAAGAATTAAACTCTCCCGTAACTTATGATTTTAACATACGAATCAAATGTTTTGTAATTTACACAAGAAAAACACGAACCAAAACATTCAAAATGTTCTGTTACAAACACTATTAACACGCTAATCTGACACTCTGGCAATTTATACAATCATATTTTAGCTAGTATAAGTGACTTGAAAAAAACGACAAATTACGACAACCCAAATGTTAAATTTATATGTATAAGCACACGTGTTTTCTAAATTATAATTAGTAAAAGCTATTGTCTATAGTAATTCCGATCCCTTCTAAACCTCGCATTATATCTAAGACGACATACTGATACGTTAACAAAACCACGTCAAAACAACAAACATCATAAAAAAGCATAGTGTTATATATATTTATTATCTAGACTCATAAAAAACAAGCTATACTACTTCCATTATATAATTGCTAAAACTACATGACAGCATATAAAAAATATAACAATATAATCAATAAATGTATCTATGTTTTGGCTTTCTCGGGGGCTACTCACTTTATAAAAGATCTACCTAACTAAAACAACAATTTGAAACATTATTCTAAAAAAAAAATTATTAACTATAGGATGCGGTTGATACCTGCAACATTGTGCCGGCTGCGGTGGATACCAGCAGCGGGATTTTCGGCTGTGGTGGATATCAGCAGCGGGGTTTCGGCAGCGGTGAATACCAGCAGCACGATATGCAAAATAATCCCATGCTTACTTATAACATAATAATTGGAACTGAGAATTAAGAATATTTACTATACTGATGTATAAAAAAAAAGGCAACAGTAGTATACCGCTGTTCGAAATTCATAAATCGAATGAGAAAAAAACACATCCGGGTTACAAACTAAAACTGAGGGAAACACATCAAATATAAGAGGAGAACTACGACACAACAGAAACACAACATTTAAATGTAACACACACAGAAACCAACTATAATATAACAATGGCCATTTTCCTGACTTGGTACAGGACAAATTAAAAAAACAATCGTAGGTTGAACCTGGTTTTGTGGCATGCCAAACCTCCCGCTTGTATGGCAATGTTAAATATAACATTAAAAAGACAACATTACATGATAGGACTACAATACAAATAAATGGGAGATCATATAGGACAGAGAAACACACGAATAATAGCTAACAAAAGGTGCCAGGTTTAAAATTTAATACGCCAGACGCGCGTTTCGTCCACACAAGACTAACCAGTGACGCTCTGATGAAAAAAAGTTCGAAAGCCAAAAAAAAAAAAAAAAAAAAGAGTACAAAGTTGAAGAGCATTGAGGACCAAAAGTTCCAAAAAGTTGTGCCAAATACGGCTAGGGTTTTCTGCTTGGGATAAGAACATCCTTATCATTTAGAATAATTCATACTTTTGCAAACAGTAAATTTTTATAAATGTCTATATAATAGATATAAATGATAAAACTGGTGACTAACTACAAAATAAAAACGGATAGATATATAACCTAAACCAGCATATAAAAATTCACAGCCGCGTTAGCCAAATCGATAGACGCACAATTTTAAGGGACTTCACATTTATATTTCTAAAAATTTCCCAAAAAATAGGATAAAATTAGGATAGAATTTAAGATTAGGTTTGTAATGTTGATATAACATTTATTAATAACAATGAAAATTACAATACTAATTAATATCAAATTGTGGTAGTAATTAGATAATAATTGACTTGGGGGTAAAAAATTATTTCCCCGAAATTAACATGGCCAAATTGAGCAAATTTAATACCATTAAATGAGTGAAAGCCCCCATGATAGATACATCATTTATTGTGATTTATTATTTTGTAAATGTTTTGTATGTGCGAGGGTGTTCTCACAAGTTAAAATAATCAGTTGCATCATATATATATATGAAACCCAAATGCAAAATTTGAACATTAAATCAAATCTAACCTAAATTTATTAGAAATATGGAATTAAAATTGTTTCCATGTTTTTCACCATTCAAATGTCACATAATGTTACAAAAAATTACATGTGTGTCATACTAAAATAAAGAAACAATAATAATCTGTATTTGACATTTCAAGCTTTAAACTACCACAAATGAATTAGTTATGAAAACACATATCGTGCTGAGCTCTTCTCAATACTTTGGCAATAGTTCGTATGTATCGTATGCAACAGTCTGATGACCACCTGCCTAATGTTTGAATAATATGATCCTCAACACCACATGCTGCTGCGATGTAGCTGCTCCTATACGAAAGGAGTGACCAAAAAACTTAACAGTATTATAGCCAAGTATGTCCAATAGTTTTCTCAATGAAGAAATAAATGTTTCCCTGCTTAACGGCGATAATTGAAATTCATCCTCGACAAAAAGTGGAGATTTTGGTAAAACGCCAGTCTGATATCTTATAGACAGGTACTTACTCATTGTATCCACTGGTTTAAATGTGTCATTTTCATAAATAGTAATATTCACTCCTTGACAAAAGGGATCACGCTTAGATGATCGCAGGCGAAAAATGAAAAATTGTTTCGTCGGATCCACAGTGATATCTTGCAAAAGTACTGTACATGAATTATCATTATAAGACCGACAGGTAAATTCTCCACACCGAAGAAAACCGAAAAATGGCATTTTAAAAGCACACTGAAACATGAGGTCTAGCACTGGTGAAAACATTGCTTTCGATGATAAATCACAAAGCTTATTCAAAATTGATGATGTAATTGGTAATCTTTCATGAACAACATTGTTCTGTGTTTTTTAACACCCCGAAGAATAATTTGTAATCTGATAGCATTCGCCATAGGATCATATCCTAAAAATCTTATATAATAATGACGTACTCCGGCAAGATAGAGTTTAATATTCTTGTGTTTAGGATTAAGTGCTTTTTGACAGTAAGTTACTAAATAAACTAGAAGATCTTCTTTTAAATAAGGGAGATTAACTTCGGAGCACGGTTAACCATTCATGACCAAGAAAGTTCTGAAACATTCAAAAGCGGATTTATGTAGTCAATCTGGTGCTTTTGCTCAACGACGCATCCCATAAATCTTCTATTTTTAAATTCAAACCATCATCAGCTCTGAGGGATGCAGACAAGGAGTTGGTTTCGCGTTTGCATGTGGTGCCAAGGCACTGAACTTCACCATCTGGTAATGAGAAAGAGAATCAGCTTTACAGTTTTTTACACCAGGAATGTGTTTGGCATGCACTACAAAATTATCAATTGCTGAATGATAAGTGAGCTTTCTCATTAACTTCATCAAGCTTTGAAGCTTAGATCTACCCTTTTTTATAATATTAACAGCATAAGTATACAAGTGCATGTCCGCAGCATTCGTTATATTATCATTTAAATTGAAGGAAACACCATTCCAAATTTTTTAATTTTTGACCACATAATAAGATCTGGTTTACAGCTTTTAAAGTGCACATGGTGATGCAACTTTTTAACAGTAGTAGACAGTTTAATTAAGTGTGAAACAAATGATCTACTTGGCACTATAATTCTGAACGCAAAATTTAAAATGCCCTAGTTAACTGAATAACTCTCTTTTGGTGCAAGAATTGCACTTACTAAAGTATTCTATAATTTCTTGAATTCGTAATACCTTTACTAAAGGGAGATACGCCTCCATATTAATAGTATCTAAAAAATATTCCTAAATATTCTAATATATGACATGGTCCTTCATTTTCGTAACTGAAAGTGGCACACCTATAGACTTAAAAATATCTAAAAAAAGGATTTCACAGTTTGTTGAGCATTATTTTGTTCTGGTACAGTAACTAGAAAATCATCTAACAAGTGTAAAATGTGCTCTATATTGTAAATGTTCTGAGCAATCCAACAAATTGCTTGTGAAAGTGTGACAAATATTTTTGGGCTAGACCTGCACCCAAACACCTATTTATTAAAAAAAAAGTAATATCTGTCATCCCATTTGATTCCATGAATACATTAAAACGACCATAACATTGGCGACAGGGGCATATCTTTGAAGGCGTCGGCTATATAGGTTTTTAATAGCCAAGATTTAAAACCTACATGTAGGCTTTTGATAGTTCTGATAGTATCATCAATTGAAACATATTGCAAAGAAAATTCCTCTGTATCAATAAGTTCGTTTAAACTATGATTTTTTGGATCCTCATGAGGCGCTGACAAGTCTACGATCAAACGCTTCTTTTTATTGTATTTATCTTCTGCCACAACGATATGGTTAATGTGGCAATGTTTAAACGGAATAAAATAAAATGGTCCTTCTAAATAGCCTTTCTCTACCTCCGACTCTATTAATTTTAAAACGTGTGCTGGTTGAGATAACGCTGATCTTAAGTTTTTGCACTCAATAGAATTAGATGGTAATGTTGTAATACCTGTGGAAAATTCTTGAATTAACCCAGAAACTAGGTAATTCATTAATTCGTTATTTGGATGGTTTTCTAATTCATGAACTAAATTACTAATCACAATGGGTGTTGCTACTCCTAAACTAAGGGAAACTTGATCGTTTACATTTTTCTCTGCATATTGAACCCGATTTTGTGGGGTCGTAGTGCCTCGATTTTCGAACTCATAGAGACTGTTTTAGGGTGCTCTCGATAACAACTTAGACAAATATGTAAATTTTTACAATGAGATCTAAAACAACCTGTTTTCCCGTTGAAATTATTACAGATTTCCTTTCCTGACTGCTATGAACGCTCCCTGCCGTGTTTGTCTTGATCTGACCTATATAACCCTGTCGTATTCTAATTGCTGTTGTTTGACAGATTACAATAACTACTTGAGTGAAAAGAGCTTCTGCAAATGCTACATGTGTTAGGTTTAATGTTCGCAGAAATATTGCAAAATAAAGTGTTAGATCTGATAGACCAGTCAACAAGAATATTGATATGCCTTACATGAGCTGCCACATCAGCAGAAAACCGCTTATGGTACTCTTAAAATCCCTTCCCCGGATACCTGGTGGCCATATCAAACAAATCACGTTCATAAAAATCCAGTTCACTTCTTCGGTGTGGAAATGTTGTACACATTATGTTCTGAATGTCGAAAGCCTGAATAAATTCGCCCAGAGACAATGATCTTGAACATCTAGGGTCGGATTTATTGTTTTTGTCTTCACTCAAGCTTAACTTGTATGTTCCTGAACCAGAATAGTATGGTATCAGTAAAGATGTTAGATCAATGTCCATACTTGATACAACATTCTTTCGTAACTGGGGTGAAATTGTTTCCACAAACGGTAGAGTTTCTGCAGAATAGCCGTGCGCTGTTATCACCATGTTCCTCTAGTTACCAATATTTAAAAGCTGTTCCTTGCTTCCAGTGGCTGCGTTCGGTGCAGTTCGTGTGTTTTGCAATGCATTGCATGCTGACTGTAAATCAAAATTTAACCAAGATTGCCTTGAATTTGTAGAATTATGATTAATGAGATTGGATACACTTTCAACCGGAGCGCAGACATTCGGTGTTTCTGCGATTCTACTGGTATTTTCATTTGATCTGGCTTGAAGTAATGAATTGACCTTTCCTGTTAAGCCTGAAACATTCTGTTGAAGGGATTGTACGGTCGATGATAATTTTGACACAATTCCAATCAAAACACGATTGTCAGTACTGGGCGTGTTTTCATTATTATTGTTTGTGTTTGGTGCATCTTAGGATCGTGGATCCCCATCTACACGTGCGTTTTGCAGTGGCAATGCATGATGGTATACCGCACTACCATTTATTGGTTCCTAACCACGTATATCTTCGCCTCGTGCTTCCTTTCCACGTGCGTTTGTTGTGTTTGATTTGATACCTTCACTATCGGAATTTTCGTATCGTTCAAAATACGTACTACTGTCAAACGTTTTGCATTGATAGGAAAAGCGATATTCTTTTTTTATAACTCTGCTTTCAGTCTAGCAATTGTCCAATTTTTAAGTAATGTAGAATTAAAGATTGCAATATTGTTTTTCTTTTTTCCTATTCGGACCCATTGCGTCCGTGCATGTGTATAAATGTAATGTTTAAAAGCAATATAGGTGAATAAATAAATAAACAGACCTCAGTTCTATGAATAATAAAACTCAAAATCAAAATATAAAATAGCACATATCGTATGAATGAAGACTTCTTCGTAGTACAAACACGTGGATTGTTCGAAGTTTATTCCATGACCCTTTTCCTGACATTTTTACATCACACGGGATAACTTATTCGAGTTAATACTAAAGTCAGAAAAAGCCAACACTTATAGTTTTATGCAGAGCAGTTTAAATACTGAAACAAGTTATTTTTGTAATTAACTAAATCATAAACAAAATAAAAATCTGCGACAACGAACTGGCAGCTTAAAACGAGCTTATTAATACTTTACTTATATCTCATATCTGTTTGGCTAACAAATCTTCTAAAAATATATCATTTCTCTCAGTAATTTCTAAAAATATCTCTGTTCTCTCAATTAATGTTCTATAAATATCTCACCTGACGTAGGCAGGAATTATTTATCGTATAAACTATAATTTAAATCTTTAAATTACCACTACTGTCATTAATACAAGCATTCAGAAATGACCTGTTACTATTGATATTTATAAGTAACGAATACAAATAATATGTAACCACCTTCATAAAGATACGAAACGAAATGTTCTGTAACCATATTACATTAATTTTATAAACTTTTTATCCAGAAAAGATGGAAAAAACACATCCAATAAATTTAATTTTTTACACTTTTTAATTCTACTCTTTCAATTTCTAATAACAGAATCAACAACAAAAAGTGCATCAATGGCACTGTATCGATATCTATGCCAGAATATTGTTGGAACAGAGGAGCATGTAAAAACAATCCGAATGATGAACAATGTCAGAGATTATTTACACAGCTACAACAGAGGGGAAATGATCACCAGCGGGAGTTTCGGAGAAGGACTTGCGATGCGAGGTAGTGATCTTGATTTTATGGCGGGTTTTAAACAAGTTGAGATCTTTGAAGACACAAAAATTTATTCAAATGTTAATAACATAAATTTCAAAATGGAAATGAAAGATACTCAGCCAGGTTTCACTAAGTTGCGTCTTGTGCACAGTTATGACCCTGGTATCTTTACAAACTGCGACGAAGTAGGTAGTGCTTTTTACTTTTCAAACCTTTCATTCAAACAAAGATTGTCAACCGAAACTCTTTCGACTATACATGGGCCATGTATTTCCGATAAAAAAGGAGTATATGACGTTGCCTACTGTTTACATAGCAAATTATGGATAACACTAGCAAACCAATGGATCACAAGATACAATAATTCATGGCCGATATACGATGTTAAATAGGATATTGTAAAACATGGGGTTCTCTTTGTTTCCGTAGGCATGAAAGGATCTACACAGGAGGAATTAGAATGGCGAATATCATTTTCCGTTGGCGAAAAACTACTTATTTATTCATTTACACATACACAATTACTATGTTATTCACTTTTGAAAATTCTTCTTAAAGACGTTATAGCTTTAGACATAGATTGTAAAGAATTACTTTGTTCATATTTCATGAAAACAATTTTGTTTTGGATATGCGAAGAGTTGCCTTCATCAGAATGGAAACCTGAAAACTTGATACTTTGTTTCATGAAATGTTTAAGGAGGCTCGTATATTGTGTTGAATACAAAGTTTGTCCTCATTATTTCATTCCCTAGAATAATTTATTTGAGAATAAGATACAAGGATATGCACAAGAAACACTTCTAATAAAGTTGTATATTCTGATAAGTTATGGTTGGCAATGTATATTATTGTCAGACCAAGTCTTGGACTTAAATGCAGTGGCATCTGATATAAGTGAGGAGTCAAGTTATTTATATGTCAAGGGTGTACATAGATTTTCAAACTCACGTACGTTTTTTTCAGACATTTTGCAGGAGACTTTTGATTCTATTTTGGAAAAAGTGATGTACAAGTTGTATAGTAAGAGTTCGACGATCAAATACCTGTGCATATACTATTTGTCAAATTGTTTGGTAAAAGTAAGCGATTTCTGCCATTGGAGGATGTGTCCCGTAATAAAGTTACTTATAAAATGTGCAACACTTACATAAGTACCTAATTATCAACACACATCATGATGCCGTATCTGGATGGCTGACATTAGCAACATTTGTCTACAGAAGAAAACAATACAATACATCTCTTCACATTATTCAGTATTCTCTGTTGAAATGTACACCGGAAAAACTTCATCAATTTATGCAGTTTTCAGATATGCATTATGAGCTATTTAATTTGCAAGTATTTAGGAATATGCATATTGTTAAGTTATGGAAATATTTACTACTAGATTTAGTGGTAATCAAAAACTCTAATTTACAACCTGATGAATTACAAATTGTAGTAGAACAAATTATTCCTCCAATAGTATATGCTCACTTTCTTCGTTTGTTGTGTCATTATCATTTGAAAGATAGCAAGGAATGCTGGGATTCTCTCAGGGATCTCCAGTTGACTATAGAAGAAAAGTATTTTATAGCAACTCAAATGTTGAAAGGTTTATCTTACAACATCCTAGGTATAAGTTTTCAATTGTTAGGCGACTTGGAATCAGCAAAACAAGCATTAATGCAATCCAAAAAATTATGTCCAGATGAAAAGTACAACAGCGCATTCCAAACATTGTCATTGATAAGCTGATGTGATTATGATTATGTTCCTTAATATGTGGATAAGCCTATTAATATTACTTTTCTATAAAGTGTACTTCTAATTAAATGCTAAGCAAAGTATTGTTTCTAAATTAATGTATACTTAGTTACTGTTATTCTTAATGTTTGTAAATTAGAGAAAACTCAATGTGTCTCTTGAGCCCGCAAGCAAAACATTTTTAGGAGCCGAAATTCAACAATGAAAGTCCGCTAAACTGTTCAAAGTAAATAAAACCAGTGATTGCGACAAAACACCGCAGAACGGAACAAAACATTAACTCGAACTGTAACTCATCATAGTAAAATCATATACTAAAAATAAGCTCAATATGTGAAGGCCCTAAGAACAAAACACCGAATGTCTATTATATTTATTAACTTTTCAAATTCAAAGCCTGTAATTCCGTCAAAAATCAGCGGAGAAGACTCGCATACTAGTAATAAGCTAAACGTATGAAGCCTTTTCTACGTATAACTGTTTGTTATGGAATAACAGACTGGCGGATAAGGGTAATACTAAATTGCCTTGATCACTGTACATGGGAGCAAAACAAATAATCAATAATTAGCAATCTTTAAGATATATTCATTGTATTCAAATCAGTACCTCTAGACTAAGATGTACATGTATAAAGTTATTGGTTCTTTTTTTTAAATTTGAAGATGATTATTATGTTGCTGCTTCTGCTGCCGATGATGACGTTTGTAATTTTGATTTAATTCTTAATCATTATTCAACTATCCATGTACGTACTTCCTTTAAAAAAAGATATGGTAGTTACATGTATAATGAAAAAAAAATTAGAGGAAAGAATAGGAAAAAGGAAAATAAATAACTTCCGAGAATCTCATCCTACAGTATGGAGTAAGGACAGGATACAGGACGTTCGTATGGAAATTTTATCGTCGAATATTTCTTACAACTGAGAACTTACCGTATCGTATTTCTATGATATGATTAATGTTTCCTCATTTTCGTCAGGAATTGCTTTGGACTTGTTTTCTACTATTCGTATGATTTTCTCTATATCCCGGAAAAAGACTCAGCTTCCAGCTCTGTTGTCCTGCATCCTCCTTCATCGGAGCACGACCTCATACCACAATGGAAAGACAGTCTAACAATATTGCGTATTCTACTACGGTTTAGATAAAACCGGTGAGTTTACGTCACCTCTTCTTACAAATTTTGATATACAACATGAACACGAAACGTTATCTGCATATCAAATATTTGTGAACTTTTAAGAAGTATAATTGATTGTGTAAGCCCTCTGCTGACTATACTTTAACATTAGAAATAAAAAGTACAAAACAAATAACACGACACAAAACATTTAGAAATATTTTCACATGTGGGAGTAGGGGCAATAAGGCCCTTTTTTGGCCCAAACATTACTGCAATTTTGAATGTTATCATTCATATTCTTAAATTACTGAAAACTTTACTAAGGTACAAGGTATTCATAAAATCAAAACAAATTTGACAACATGGCAACAAACCATGACTTAATTTGCATATTTTGTAAAATTTCGTGATTTTTCTTGTTTTTTATCAAGTTTTAAGTATATTTTAGAGTGAAAAAGTATGTGTGCACCCAAGAAACAACTTTATATTTGGTGAGATTGTGTCAATAGTTTTAATAAAGCTTCTGTTAAAATTATTTTGTTGTTTCTTGGCTGCGCACGATGTTTCCACAACAGAGGTAATGATAGAAAACTGCATAAATTCTGTATTTTTCATCATTTTTGTGAAAACAGTACATATTATAACGTAATTGTGACGTCATCAGATAAAAATCTTTTTGTTTTTCATTTCTTGACTATATGCATTTCTAAACATTATGTGCCAATTTGGAATAGTTATCAAACATTTTATTGTCTTGGGCCAAAGCCAGGCCTTAATGCCCCTACTCGTAAGACAGGTTTAAATTTTTCAAAAAATGGACGTTTTGGTATTTCTGTTATCGCAATATATAAAAAAAATGGCCACTTTTTGTTTTTTTAGTAACATATATCTCATCTTACGGACCATTATCGGTTTGAAAATTGCAAAATTTTACAGGATGTCGATTCTCTTGCTGCTTCTACTACTGATGATGATTTTGATTTTGCATCTTTATAATTAGCAAAATATTCATATACGGTTCTTTCATAGATATTCCGACAGGCCACATAGTAATTTATTTGTAAGCCTGTGCCGTGAATAAAATTACTTGGATTATTCGTATTCCTTCCCGTAGAGGCATCACACAACCAACCTTATTTGGGAACGGTAGTATTATCTTTCCGGGAATGATTTGTCTACTCTGCAGAATTTTGGACAGTTATATGGCTCCAATATAGTCAAATCTGATTGATGACTTTGTGGTTGTTTGCAGGCTACCTGAAATCTTTAAATCGAATATTAAAGGATCTGTGGCCCTTAAACATGTTATAGATCTGATCAATTTTGAACTGTATAGTTTGCCTTGATGTAACCTAGTGACTAAAGTAGATTTTCTAAAGTGACCCTCTGACCATAAGGGGTACTCTTTTGGAGCCTCAGTTATTTTTATACAATTTTTCTTATTTGAAGTTAAGTACTTATGAAAGGAGTAGGTTAAGAAGAACCCCTTATTTGGCCCCAAAATATAGCAGTTTTCCAAATTGTTAAAATGTAAATGTTTAGCTAGTAATTGGAAAAGAGGGACGAAAGATACCAGAGGGACAGTCAAACTCATAGATCGAAAACAAACTGAAAACGCCATGGCCAAAAATAAAAAGACAAACAGACAAATAATAGTACAGATGACACAACATAGAAAACTAAAGACTAAGCAACACGAACCCCACCAAAAACTGGGGGTGATCTCAGGTGCTCCGGAAGGGTAAGCAGATCCTGCTCCACATGTGGCACCCGTCGTGTTGCTTATGTTATTACAAATCCGGTAACTAGTCTAATTCGGTAAGTCACATTCGTGAAAAGGGAAAGTAGAATACTTCTGCTACATATATATGAGCTGTTTTTTGACAATGCAATGCACATATATCGGGTACTAGCATCACTAAGTCATGCTAAATTACTGAAATCCTCACAATTTTAGCATTTTAGTTAAATTTTAGACGGTTTTTGTCTTAAAGGAAGTGGCCGCATTTGTGTTCATTCTTCGTATTTAAATGCATGTTGTATTTGATGATAATCCATAACATATATAAAGGTTGTGAGTGAACACGGATGCGGCCACTTTCATTTTTGACAAAAAACGTCTGAAAAGTGACATATTATGGTATATTCGATATATTTTTTATATTTTAGCTTGAATTTGAGCGTATTCAAGGACTAAATCAATTCACATAAACTAATTGAATTGACTGAAGTAGACACTTAAATGTTTAAAAAGTGTCCAAAATCTATCATCAGAAGAACCTGAAATTTGAGGCCAAAATCAGCCCTTACCGGACCTACTCCTTTCACAAACCCACTGTATCCTCATGAAAGCCTGAATTTGGAAAAATCTGGCTAATTAACTTTTCAAAACAGGTTGTGGAATTAGCTGGTAACTGCAAATAATTTTACATATATGTGAAGTGAAGATGACAATTGATTGACATGTTTTGGTCCATATTATTAACTGAAATGTTTAACGACTTCTAAGCTAAAGAATGTTTTGTTTAAAGAAAAGACAAACAATGTGACTGTCATCTCAGTAATTGAATGATATTAACAAATACCCCCTCGCGTCTAGCAAACAACAATGAATAAAAACATAACTGGCTACTGTGTGATAATTGACCTACAGATTTCACGTCAGTGACATAACCATTTATACAACATGTGCAATGTCAAATAAATTAAAAAAAGTTAACTACAATGATATGAGTATAATGTAATAAATGTCATTTTGAAATATATATAAGTTTGTTACCCTATGTGTTGTGTACCATGCTGAATTTGCAAAGTATGAATGTTTAAAATTGTCATTGTTATGTATCCCTGTCTTGTTATGTATCTGTCACAACCAATGTCCATAGTATGAAAACTGAATTTCATCTGTGGTTTAGGTTGTCTTATATATTCCTTTTAATTCTGTATTTAGACAGCACTTCGGTGTTATCATGTGTTTCTATTATATAGTCATTTCTATAAATTTACTGTTTGCAAAAGTATGAATTATACTAAATACTAAGGATATTCTTATCCCAGGCAGAAAACCTTAGCCATATTAGGCACACCTTTTTGGAACTTTTGATCCTCAATGCTCTTCAACTTTTAAATTTGAATGTAGATTTTTGGCATTGACATAACGCCAGATACTTAACTTAAAAGACTTACTCAGAAAATAAATTACTGAATGTTATGTTTGTAAGTGAAAAGTAGAGTTTACACATCAATTGTTTTTTTGATCTCTTCAAGAAATAAGACAAAACCTCAAACATGGAATTATTACCATATAATAAATAATCGATAATACTAAAATTCTTTTAGAAAAGAATGCAAATTATTTACACTTCATTTTATGAATTGAAATTTTCCTTTTTTAACGTTTTTTTCTTCAAATCTAGATTGAAAAAATATTTGGCTTTGACATAACGACAGACTCTTAACTTGGAAGTCTTACTCAGAAGACGAATATGGTTTGTTTGAAAGTGAAAAGTAAATTTTACACATCAATTGTTTTTGTTATCTCCTCAAGAAATACGACAAAACCTCAAACATGGAGTTATTACTGAATAATAATTAATCAATTATAGTATTAAATCTTTGAGAAAAGAATTCAAATTATTTACACTATATTTTATGGATTGAAAGGAGTATGGCCACGAAGTGCCGATATTGGCCCTGTGAAGTGACAAAAAATAAAAGAGAAATAAGGTGGATCCTTTATAACTAAAACATATCTACGTATATCGTTATTTGTTATTATAGTGTAAAATCATATTTTTGTGACGTCATTAATGTGACGTAATACCCGGAATCAAACCGGAACGCTCAAAATGTCCAAATTCTTAAAGAATTTCACACTTCCTGGTTAAATTTCGCATTGGCCACAAGCCTCGACCAAAGTAATTTTACTCTTATTTTGATTGTTTTACACTTTGAA